CTCTTCCTCGGAGAGGTTCACACCCTTTTTTGCACTACTGTGCGAGCGCTGGCAGGGCCCAGCTGGCTACCTACAGCAAGTCAGCAGAAGCAGCTGTGCAACGCTGCAGCATCCCAGATCCTGGGCCCCGGGTGCTCAGACCTCTCCCGGGAACTTCCCATCCTCTTCCGGGAAGTTTTAGCGAGCGAGGGCATTGCCGAGAAATCTGGTTACGATGCACAGAAACTAACGCCGGCCCTGAAATCATCTTGTTCGGCAGCAGCTGTCAGCCTCTCCGTTCCCAAAGCACAGGGGAACTCAGACCAGCGGCGAAGCTAACAAATGGATTCAGCGTGGTACCTCCGCTTCAAGAGGCGGCCGGGGGACTGCCCTAAGCCAAGAGACGCCTCGGCTGGATCAATCACCGCTAACAAGAAGCGGGCTCGGAAAAGGTTATTACAAAAATCATCCAGAGACCACTGATGAAACGGTGATCGTGCAACGGTGCACCAGCTCCGAGCCAGGCCAGGTGCCACAAGGCAGAAACCGGGCCCGGCACAACTAATATCGCTCCTTTTTGCGTGTGAATTCGGCGTGGCCAGGAGGGAGGGAACAAGAAAGATCAACCCCCAAGAGGCACGCGCTTCAAGGGAAGCATTTTTTTCCCACCTTCCCATAAATGTATTTACTTTAGGCAGAGGTAGGGGAGAGAGTAATCAGATCCCAACAAAGAATGGATCTTTGTGAGCTGGGAGCAGGCAGTGAATGGACCGGCCTCCCCGGCTTGGCCGAGAGTCATTCAATCTCCCGGTAACTATGGCATCTTACAGACCAGACGCAAGTTCAGCAGCTGAGCTGGGTGGGAAGGAGAGCGAAGCCTCCCACCTTTGCCCCAGCTGCAAAGGGGAGAAGCCTCCTTGCTCATGGCGGGGGGAAAGGGAGCATTTACCCGGAGAGCGCTCCACCTTGCCGAGACAGCACCCGCCGGGCCCGCTCACAAGGCTGGTGGGACGAAACAATCTTTGTTCTGCAAACACCTCGTTGGTCTAATAAAGGATGTCGCCTCTGCCACGAGCTCTGACTCCTGGTCTACAAGGTCTTTATTTGCAAGCTTTCGGGCACAGATGCAACGAATGCAAAGATTGCAAAGTTTCTCCTAGGTGGACGTGAAAATTGCTATTTGCAGACAAGGTTCTTGGGGTAAATCTGATCTCTTTTATTAGACCAACTCAAAATAAATGCCTGCATCTCCTTGAAGTTGGCCTAGCCCTACTACGTGACCGTTCCCCCAGGGAAGTGGGGGGTCTCCGGCTTTCACATCCACTCGCCCCGTGCTGCTAGAGCGCGCAGCCAACTGCTGCACGCTCCTGGCGGGGAGGGGACCAAGACAGACAGACACCGATGTGGAGTAAGCTGATTAAGCATCTGTCACCTCATTTCAAGCTAGCCAAAACACTATAAAGCTCATTTTCTGCCTGAGGCATTTTTAGCCTTGGTTCCTGCTGCCTGGTCTTTTGAGAGTGTGACCGTTTAATTTGCTGCTGGAGATACAGCCACCGCGCCGCTGATCAAACAGCGTCGGCCGGGGTCTGCCTGCTCGGAGATCAGAGCAGCAGGTGATTAATTCCAAGAAGCAACAACCTCTTGGCGAGCTGCGCCGGGGCACCCAGGCTGCGGTTTCACACTCTCTTGCGGTCGCAGCGCGGACCTCGGGGTCTGTTAGCTCAGGAATTCGTTTTAATCCTCCGAGGCATTCACGGCGATGGCTGTGCTCCAGCACGGTGCCCGGGAGGGCAGCGAGCACTGAACCCCGCCAGCCGGGCAAGGGGGACCAGCTCGACCTACGAGCGGGCTGAGGAGGTGTCCAGAGAGGCCAAAAGACCCAAGCAACTGGGACCAACCCTCGGCCTAACCGAGATCCTGCTGCAAGGTTTCAACATGAATTCCCTTCACCATCATATACACATACATATATACACATATAGACATATGAGATAGTGGAGGCTGGTCCTGCTTGGAGCAGGGGGTTGCACTAGATGTGACCTCCGGAGGTCCCTTTAACCTTCATTTTCTATGATTTTAATTTTTTACGATCACCCTCCAGCAGCGTAGTAGGCCAGTACTTCGCTCCGGGCTTTGACTCTCACGTCACCAAATGCATGTTGTCTTTCGCAGGGCAAGAGCTTCGTTATGTAGGACTCCTAACGGGGGAAGTTAGATTACTGGGCGAAGTGCACGTTACTACCGATTAGGGCCGTTGGCCGAACTGGGTAGGCGAGTCCAAATAAGTAGTGGCAACAGCTACAGGACAGCGTGCAGCAATGGGAGAACAAGCCTGGACTGACAGCATACAATGAACCCGTAGCAACAAGCTAGTCCGTGGTTCATCTTCCAGGTTTGTAACAGAAAATTAGCTAGGAGAAGTTAATTAACAGCAAGGCAAAGAGCAGCCCCGTATGATTCCCGAGCCATATTCGATGCATGTGGATTTTGGCAGGAAGTTTTGCCAGGAAGTTACTACAACTTCCTAGAAAATCAAAATAGGTGCATCCCCCTCCGGCGCCCGCCCCCGGCCCCTGCTGCGCTTGCGGGGGTCCGGGAGGGGCTAGAAGCAGCAGCAAGTCCCAGCCCCGTCCTCCCCCCGACTGGCGCGGCCACGCTTGCTCCAGACACAGCCGCGAAGCGCCGTGCACTCCTGCCATTAGTCAGCCCGGCCCCGGCAACTGGAGGCTGCATAACATTTACACAGAAGAAAGGCTGCCAGGATTTCTGCGGGGAAGGGTTTTAAAATAAATTTGCTAGGTTAAGTGCAATAAAAAACAATCGATACCGAAAACGATTTTGTGCAGCAAAGTCTACAAGGAGAGTTATAGATCTGATCAAAGGGAAACATCCTCGATGCCTGGAACCTATACGCGATAAATAATTCAGGCGGGACCCAGAGATGGAGAGCGCTACCCGCGAGCAAAGCCCACAGACCCCCCACACCCCCTGCTGACCCTTTCCCACGGGCCGCGGCGAGTCGACTGGCACAGACAGCCGCCTGTCCAAGCGAAGCTATGGGGGCTGCAGGCAAAACCCAGCTCCGTGGGCTCCTGGGGGAATGCCGCCGACCCCAAGTCTCCCTCGGGGACCGCTGTGTCGGTGCAACGGCGCGGGTGCCAGCAGCACAGGGATGCCCAGCTCCCGGGACAAACATCTGCAGACTGAGAAGGGACCCAGCTCCGTGACTCAGCCCTGGCTGCGCCCGGCTGAAGCACGTTACATAACAACCTCAGACATCGCTCCTTCACCTTGAAGGACGAGTTTCGAGCCGCTGAGTGACAACAGCTATTTTAACAGGGCAAATAAAGCGAGGGGCGATGCCTGGCAGGAAGGGGCCGGTTGCCACGTAACGAGAACGAAGCAGGCCAGCGCCTCGTTGGCTCAGTGCAAGCCGTGAGACCTCTCACGGGGTGTGTGCCGGCGGCAAAGCTGGCTTTGGAGGGGCTCCTGCTGTCCTAGGGAGGGGGCGTTCAATGAAGCAGGAACATAGACCCCAAACATCAAGCCAGCAAGCTCCTCTTGCTTCCATGGCCCCCTTTTGATGCCACGTGGGGAGGGCAGGGGGGCTTCTCCGGCACGCATGTGCCCGTAGCTGGGGCAGAAGGAAATCCAAGAGACACGTGTGTAAAGGAAAAGAGAGAGGCTCCGAAACAAACCCCGGCCGGCTCGCCCGCAGCGCGCTCGAACCACGGCTTCGTGGCCCTGGAGTCCTCCAGCAAAACTCCCGAGCTATTTTTAGCGGAGCGCGTGGCACGACGCTGGAGGAAGCGGCTCTCGAAAGAGCACTCCTGAAACTGGGCTTGCCAGGCCGCCGAAGCGAGCGGGCTGGCAAAGATGCGAGCACAGCCCCGGCCCTTGGCACGCAGGG